GTTGCTCAGAGCAGCGACAAGATGCTTTCCGTTCAGAAGAACAACGAGAACAGGAGCTTGAAGACGAACCGGCTCTTCCCGACTCCTAACAAGCCCGACCCGATGCCGCAGAATCTCGCGTTCCTCTTCACCAAGATCACGCCGGACTGGGATCCCAAAGACTTCTAGGCCTGTTTTTGCTTTGCGAAGGGGATGCGATGAAAAAGAAAACATAATCTCTTCCAAACTTACAGGAACAGATGATTTACATGTGGAACGTATTAACGGCAATCTTTTTCACCCAAGTGCTGATGGTGATCGGCTACTGTGCAGCTTTGGCTTGCTTCCCGGACTTCTGGTGGACTTGCACTCTGTGCTTCGGCATCCCGTTCGCGTACATCGCCATCCAGAACATTTACATTGATCACGATGTGATGCACGGAGCCACTTTCCCGGTTTACGAGTGGCAGCGCTTCTTGACTCACCCCTTTGCCGACTTTTTTTCTCTGCCTTGGGAGGAGTTTGTCCTGGAGCACAACAGGCACTGCATCTGAATCTAGACCCAGACCCCAACGATTTTGCACCCGATTTAACCGGCATCGTTGTTCCGTTCGCGCGTTTTGCAGTGTTGAACATAAGTGTGGTTGATCGAAGCCCTGAAAGTTGGAACAATCCAGGCATCATGCCTCGACGGTTGACCTGCTGATCCAGGGTGAGTTCGGGTGGGACCCCGAGGAGTTCCACTACGCCCTGCAGCAGTGGGCTGGGCCATGGGGCTCGAACTGGTACAAGTACCTGCTCACCGTGCCATTCATCCCTGTGACTAGGTGCCCCAGTAGTACCCTTTGTCCTTTTTTAGTTTGGGGTCCCCGTACTAAACCGAATGTTAAGAAAAAGGGTACCCTTATTATTAAGGGGTTACTGGGGAACCTAGGTGATCCACTTCTTTGGCCTGAACGATACCGGCTCGCTCTTCGCTTTGGAGTGGTGGATGCACTTCCCCGATGAGGGCGCAGGCGGCAAGTGCAACAAGGAGCTACTGAGATCAATAGCATCGATCTCTGATTGATTCGTAGCGTAGTCTTCCAGCTGTTGCAAGCATGTCGGTCTTCCAATCCCATCATGATCAAGACGCTGACTATGTTTACCTACTATGACTATGCCTACGGTCTACGAGTTGCTGACCTACCAGTACTGCCAGGAGTGTAAATCTGGTTGTTGCTGTCGCGACTCGTAGTGCCATGATCAACTTACAAGCTACCCATAGGCTCCTTAGTAGTTCTTTTTGGGGATTACCTTATAGGATTCTAAATATAAACCACAAAAAGGAACTACTTAGGAGCCTCTGGGTATGCCTGCCTCTGCTCCAAGTCGTTATTATCTTAGTCGCTGAGTAGGTAGGCTTTTGCCTTTTGGGGCTTAGATAAACTACCATTAATTTGAAAAGGTTAACCGGTTAACCCTTCTTGGGGGGGCTTATAAATTATATAATCCTGCTATACACTGCAAAGGTTAACCTTGTTTTTTGTGGGGGGCGGGGGGGGGGGGGCTGGCTAGGGTACTCGGCCCCGAAGTTATCGACCTTGGTTCGATTGCAGGGCCTGGAAGCCATGACCCCTTAAACTAGGGTTTAGGGTAACCATCTCTTGGGTGTCTGGGGCTCTTTTGGACTCTATTAGCTTTCGGCCCCGGGGGCTGGCTATAAATGTGAGGCTTTTTATAAATCTGGATCGAGCTGCTGCCCGGTAGGCACTATAAGGGGTGGCTCAGGACAGAATGAAAAATGGCTTCCTTTTATAAACCAATTAATTTTAACGCTACGCCGCCCGCCTCGGCTGCTGAGGGGCAGAGGG